TCGCTTTTGGGCGATTTTGGAGGAGATTTTCACGATTTGGATTGGGGTAAGTATTCTTGACCCCGATTTAGTTATATTTCATGATTCCATCCTTGTGTTTTTCATGTAATTTATGATTTGAATTGGAGAAATTGGGGTAGTAAAATCTTTTCTAAAACATAAATTGATGATTTGAAAGCTGATTTGAGGTCATAATTTGATGATTTTGGTATGGTTGGACTCGTATCGGAATGAGTGTTCGGGTTTTGTGAGTTTTGTTTGGTTCCGAGGTACGGTCCCGGGGTTGACTTTTTGGTTTTCATTAAATATTGAAGCTTTATTATCCAGAATTATTTCCTATAGCTTTTATTTATGTTATTAAGTTATTTTAGCTAGATTCGGCTCGTCCGAAGATTGTTTCACATGGGAAGGGCTTCTTAGAGTATTGATTTAGCTTCTTTGAGGTAAGTATCTTGCCNGCTAGATTCGATCTGTCCGGAGGTTGTTTCACATGGGAAGGGCTTCTTAGAGTATTGATTTAGCTTCTTTGAGGTAAGTATCTTGCCTAACTTTGTGTGGGAGAAACTACCCCGAAGGATTTGGTTTAATTGCACTATTTGGATTGTATGAAAGACGTGTACATGAGGTGACGAGTATGTACACGGTCTTATGTGTGGAAATTGACCGTATTAGACTCTTAGGCTTCTTATATGCTTTAATTGAATTTGTAATTACATGTTCTACATTCCATTGTCTAGTTTATTCTTATATACTTTAATTGAAGTTGTTAGTACATGTTCTATCTTTTGTTGTCGAGTTACTCTTATATGTATTTAATTGAGGTTGTTATTACATATCATGCCTTTCATAGTTAGGTTTATTCTTAAGCAAGTAATTGAAGTTGAAGTTATTGAGAGCTATTAACCTATTTTAGTTGAAGGGTTTATTTTATGGAGTATCTTTCATTATTGTGTTGTTTCCCGTTTCATTCTATTAGAATTGAGGTTCTTATACATATTGTGGTTGAGCCACGGGCTATCTATTTTGGTTATATTTGTATTGTTGTTTTGGTAATGTTCTGGCCTATAGACACGTGTGGTACGAGTTGATATGTCGTGTTATTGTAATTTTGGCAAATGTGGATTTGTTGTATGGATTGATTGTTGCTATGCAGACCATAAGGGTGGTATCTCACTGTTGTTGATTGTGCGGAGTGATACAAGAGGCTATTGATGTACTGTCTGGGAGGAGTGATACCAGTGGCTATTGATATATTGTCTGGGCAGAATCATACGGGTGGCTATTGTGTTAATTTTTTAGGCGGAGCGATACGGGTGGCTATTGTATTATTGTCAACGCGGTGGGATAAGGGTGGCTATGTGAGGGATGATATGTGATGGCCTCGGGGCATATTATTGATGATATTCGTTTGGTGGTGTGACTTTCTTGTGTGTGTCATGCATATTACGCAATTTGTTGTGTTGTTTCCAATGTGCTACTCGATGTCACAGATATTACTTGTTGACTTGATCTGTGATAGTACACTTGCACATGCATACACTGCAAAATGCCATTTATACCAGTACAGGAGTATGATATTTGATGATCATTGACCATGTACATGCTTTCTCGTATATTTGCTTTCTCTGCGGTATAGCTGGACTGGTAGCCTTTGATCACACCGGGTGGTTTGTGTTATTGAGCTTGTGACCCTGCCGGACAGATTGTGATATTGAACCTGTGACCATACCGGGCGGGTTGTGATATAGAGCATGTGACCACACCGAGTGGATTGTGATAGTGAGCCTGTGACCATGTCGGGTGGATTGAGATATTGGCACATGAGTTTTTCGTGCAATACGTGAGTTGTCCATGCGGTTGTGATTAATAATGTGGCATGAGGTACCATGTGTATATGATATGTCATTTGGGACTGGTGATTTGTGGTTATGAGGTGTGGTACCTCGGGGTGGTTTTGTTGTAAACCTTGTGTGAGAACGACTTGATTATTGTCATTAGTTTTACTTAATTTATTTTACTGGTACTTTAAATGTGTTATGATTACTTTACTGTTTTATCACATGTTTATTTTCTTGTTGCTATTTTACTGATCCTTACTTCCATTATTAGCTTTATACTGATATTCTGCACATGTTACTATGTCTAGTAGGTATCTTGACTTGCATCTCATCACTACTCCACTAAGGTTAGTCTTGATATTTATTGGGTACCGACCATGGTTAACTCATACTACACTTTTATATATTTTTATGCAGATTCGGGTACCGGAGATAACGGACTCAGGCAGAGTTAGTTTCTTGATCGCGAGGATTAATGGTAGAGCTGCTTGGTCGTCGTAGTTCCTTAAAATCCTTTCTTTTACATTTATACTGTCAAATTCCTATCCGAACAGTATTGTATTTCTAGACATCTGTATGTATTCAGCTAGAGTTCGTGACTCTGTACTACCTAGTCTTGGGAATTATAGTGGTTATCACCGTGTTGGCATGTATCACTTTTAAATTTCTTATTTATATTAAATTCCGCTTTATAATATCATGTTTAATTGGTTTCAATGTTGTATTGATCGACTTACCTAATTTTAGAAACTAGGTACCATCACGATCCTTAAAGTGGGATTTGGGTCACGACAAGTTGGTATTAGAGCTCTAAGTTCATAGGTTCTACGAGTCACGAGCAAGTTTAGTAGAGTCTGGCGGATCGGTACGGAGACGTTTGTACTTATCTTTGAGAGGCTACGGAACTATTAGAAAATTTCACTTCTTTCATTCCTTATCGTACAACATTGATTCGGCTTGAAGCGTATATCTTATATTACTTTGCATCCACTCGCATATTATGTTGCGCACTCAGTATCAACTATGTACTAATTATTTATGATACAACGAATGGGCTATTNTGGCTAAAATACGTGTAGCTATTTCGGGAAAAATGATTTTCCAAACAAAATATAAGGCTCGCGCGGTGATATAAGAAAAAATTGTGATTATGACTTGTGAAATGTGATTTCGAGGCGGTACCTTGGTTGTGATTCTCGTTGTACATTCTATGTTGGGACTACTTGTTGATTTGAAGATTATCGTTCTTCATCAATCATTCATCCGCATTTTGATTGTGTTCAGTTATTAGTTGTTATCTTGGTTTTTGAACGATTGTGGCTTCTTGTATTAGTCATACATTCTACGTAATTTTTTGTATTGCTTTAACATGCCAATCTGTTCCTCCGTTATAACTTGATAAATTGATTGTCAATATGAAATTTAATTGCCTGGAGTCATTATATCATATTCTGTTGAGTTGTGAGTAATATAACGAAATAATAGAATTATTGACATATTTTATTCTATGTGTATCTTAAGATAGAACTCGCTATCTCACTCGGTGCCTTATTATTTTAAATGGTTATCGCCCTTTTACTATAATTTAGTTCTCAAATTATACTCAACACCCTCATGATTGGTTACCTTAAAATTGTTATCACGTTTATCTTTTAACAAATTTTATATTTAATTCGTTAATTTAACTGATATTTTGCTTTGTTTAAATATGACATTATGCTCAATTTTATTAATTTCTAAACTTAACCCATATGATACTCTATTTTGTATAAATTTTATTTTATTTTACTTTAATTGATTTCTAAAATAAACTCATTATTTTATTTGACGCCTTACTTTATTCAAGATTGTTAATATGCTTTATGGTGTTTAAATATAACTCTCGGTCATCTTAATTGATATTTGTTAAAGTTGCAATGTAAATGGTAGCACGTGGGCCTTGCCGCGTGAAGGTTATTGTTATTGTGGGCACGAGGTTCTATACGTGTAATATTTGAAAATTGTGGTCCATGATTTGTGATTTACAAAGTGTGTTACCTCGGGGTAATTCTTGTTTTAGACCTATGCTTTCGGGACCATTTGATTATTTGAGATGTCATTGGTTCCTCCTTATTTGAGTTCATTCATATCTCATCGGTGTTCTAATTATGTTGCTTCTCTATTACCTGTTTACTACTTGCTGCCATTTGTGTTTCTGTTATTTCATTTTTATTGTATATTAATAATCTTTCCGATGTTAGCCTTACATTGATGTTCTTTCCATTGTTAGCTTCATGCATATTTTGTACATGTTTCTATGTCTAGCAGGTGTCTTGACCTGGCCTCATTACTACTCTACCGAGGTTAGGCTTGATACATACTTGGTACCATTGTGGTGTACTCTTGCTACGCTTCTGCACATTTTTGTGCAGATCCAGGTATTTCTGATCGTGATGTTGAGAGTTGCATCTGCGCGGCGGAGACTTCATGGTATACCTGCTTGACGCTCGCATGCCTTGGACTCACCATCTTACTTGTCAAGATTCCAGAAATTTTTGTCAATANCTGTTCATGTGTGGGGTGTGTTGACATCCAATTTTGTCCCTCCTTTCTTTTAAACTATTTCTTTAGCTTCTAATATCACTAATAATGTAAGAATAGTTATGTTACCATCATCATCATCATTATTATTATTATTATTATTATTATTATTATTATTATTATTATTATTATTATTATTTATTACTATTCTTATTATCATTTGCGAAAGCATCGCAATAAATCAAATAGTAATATTTCTTTGACTCTACAGTTCACAAATATGATAGCATTTTATTTAACAATTACTATAATTTTAAATATAGTGATATTGAAATACCTCATAATTATTTTAAATACTATCAGTTATAACTTTATCAAGGCATATCTCATAATTTAACCATCCAATTAATATTAATATTAGTATTATATGGTATGGAATTAGCTTAATCTTTTACTAGAAGCATAAAAGAAACGATACAAGAAAGAAGGAAAAGGCCGAGCAATTCGGCCTAATTAAAGGCCTGAACCATTGAAGCTTAGCTGTCCATTTCGCTACAAGGCCCAATTACCAATCCGTCGGTCAAATTTCGTTCTAGCCTTTGCAACCCAAAACAAAAGACCCAAACCCCATAATATCTCATCAGTAGATGACGCCCCTTTCTCTCTTATTTTATTTGACAAAGTTCCATCTCCTTTCTTTCCATGGGCAGATTTTGTCCCTTCCATTTTTGTGAAATTCCTTGCTTTAATGTCTTAACTTTCAGAATCACATCTGCCATGGAGATTCGGTCAACACAAGAAGCCAAGATTCTTTTTTTTCAGAAGGTCAGATTCGGCCTCTGTATCAAGGATTCGGATCCGTTGAACGGATACTTTCTTTTTCCTCTCATCTGAATTTCTCAAACAGCTTTTGAAATTCAAACGGCTAGTGATTCCTAAAAATCCCGCCCAAGCCAAGAAACCTAATACTTTCGCCTATAAATACTCACTTTTGGATCCATTTTTAGCATAACTCTTAGCCGCCGCTCGATGCCTCATAAAAGCTACTGCTCTCATTTGTTCTTATAATTTTGCCTTGCCAAAAATCTTCTCTTTTCTTTTGTCTCTTGATTCTGTTGGTTTTAAATACAACAGAGGTGCTGCATTTTTTTGTTGACCGTTGCATCGTTTAACAGTCATCCGAGTTAGCAAGTTCGAGGTCGCAGTGTAGATCCTAAGCCAACGCCTCAGTTCGCTGCCCTAAAATAGGTCAGTGATTTTTCTCCGATCTTTTCGATTCCGTAGTTCTAAGCATGTTTATATCTGCACATATTGGAAAAAATGTTGTTACTTCCCTTTCGTTTCTTTTTCGACATTTGAAGTGCTTCTTATTAACCTCTGATGTAATTAATTTGAGCCATCATTCTGTGTTCGTTGTTTGTTAGGAATCATGAGTTAAGTATTCTTAGTTGTTGTCAATATATTAGAAACCATGTTTAGAACTTCTGCATTTTAAACTAAAGCGTTAATTGATAGCATGCCCATATGTATGCACAACTACGTTCTGATTATCACCTTTAAAATGGTTAAGACGCGAGTGTTTGAACTTATAATAATCGTTGTAAAAGTATAGGATACGGTTGTCTGTTCCATGAGATTGAAGCTGATTAAGGCAGTAGTCATCATCACGTCTATTTAATTAGATGCTATGTCCTAAGAATTCAGTTAAGTCTTAATGTTAACTAACTATATAAATTCTATATGCTCTTTCGAGTCTGATATATGAAACCCTACGCATTTGTTTAAAGTATTGGTAGTTTGAAACAAGTTGTCAGTGACATCTCGCTATTCAGTCATGCCTATAGGATTTATATAATACTACTAAATCTGATATTAACAAATAATGAGTGCTTGCAGTTTAGCTCTAAATGTTATAGAAAGTTTTCTTTGTGATATAAATGGGGTATAGGTGTAGTATTATTCATGTAATTAATCAGGTGTTTGAAAGAATTGTATGGGTTTACATTGAGTCTGCATTCTGTCCTCCTGGTCATTTATTTGTGGATATGTTGTATCAGGTTGAGAGAATTTGCTGTTCTAGCTTAAGTAATTAAATGTTATATAGAGTTGCAGTAGTTTGTTCTGATTGTTTGGAAGCATGTTAAATTAGCACGTATGTAAATGGGTACCTTTAAGACTTCTTAGTGGTAGGAATCATGTCCAGCTCTTTCCTTGGAAGTATTTTGGATAAATACAAGTAATTCCAAATGCATTCTTTCTTCGTTTAATTACCACTAACATTGGCAGTATGTATCCTATGTGAAGTTTTAAAATTTGTTTCAGATCTCTATAATCCTTAGAACACTCACCTTTAGTCAACTATTCAACGTTTTGCTTTGCTATTTTATTTTTCGTGCATATTAAGGGTTAAGCTCTCTTCCAATTCCACCCTTTACTTTATTTGTCTTTGCATGTCATGCTGGAGTTACAAAGAGTCTCAAAGTGAGACTCTCCACCACCATCACACGGAGTCAGTCACATTCCATCTTCTAGAGTCACCGGATAGCAAGAAAAACAAGCGAAATGCTCGTCTTTCTTATCTTCTCTTTCTTTTACGATTGTTTTATTTAATTTCTTGATGTCTGCTGATTTATTTGATTTGTGTTAATCTCACGCTTAACATGGGTTTGAAGATTGAGTCTATTTAATTATTTAGGATCTTCTTTTTTAGCTAGCAAACAGAGTACCTATTTTATCATTATTTTACCATATACTCTCTTCGTTTCAATTTACGTGAACCTATTTCCTTTTTAGTTCATGCCAAAAAAAATGACCCTCTTTCCTTATTTGAAAACAATTTACCTTTATGCAATTATTTATAGCCACACAAAATATTTGTGCCTCATTTTACATCACAAGTTCAAAAGTCTTTCTCTCTTTTCTTAAACTTCGTGTCCAGTCAAATGGGAACACATAAATTGAAACGGAGGGAGTAGTGTTTACCTCAACTTCTAACACTTCAATACAGTAATTTGACACTTTCACAAGTCGTTAAAATGAAGTCTTTCAAAAGATCCCGTTAACATCCTTTCTAACATCATTAAGTTGAGATTTTATAAAGTCCAAATGAAAATTGCTTTTCTTTTAACAAGTAGGAAGACTTGTCTCCAACCGTTCTTCCTTTGAGAATGATTTTAAATTATTGCTTTTATCATGTCAAAATTGATCTATTAAATATTCTCCTCAAAATCATCAGATTTTTTAATGGACTTAAATATTTTCCATAAGGTATAAGTAGCTAAGTTCCATAGAAGTTGGCCAATGCTGAAATCGAATACTCTCTTATTTTTCAACCGAGTTACAGTTAGCTATATACATTAATACTTTAGCATAATGTTTTTTATTAATTAACCTAAGTTTGGCCGGTTAACCGTATTTAATGGATCATATAGAGTGCTTAATACCTTCTCTATAAGATTAACTAGAACCCTTACCCATAGTCTAAAATTTAAGTAGACCATAAAATAGAGATAACTTTAAGCATTATTTAGCTAAAATTGGTGTCCTAATTCACCTTTAAAATAATTAGGTGGCAACTCTCTTTTTAATGAATTAAACCTCTAGAATTTCCTATAGGTTATATTCTAATTTGACCCAGTTAAAATGGGGTAAAATATGGTGTAGTGGGTTATGGTATTTGGTTGGAGAGTACGAGCTTGAGAGGATTTGATTGATTGTCTCATTGTGGTAATCGTGGTAGGGTCATGGGAGAATGTTGATTTAAGGTTGGTCAACGGTATTAGAGGTTATGTGTTTTGTATGGGACTTCTATTCTATGGAAGGTACATATTATCATTCAAGGCACTTGAGGAGGCAAGCTTGACTGTCACGAGGTTAGATATGCGATTAATAAATGATTTGGGGTATCTTATGATTGGTTCTATATGAGCATATGGTATTGTGGATCATCAGATGTTGTGTCCTATGGCTTCACGCCAAGTAGGGGAGTCTGTTATCCACGATCAGATTATGTGGTTATGTTTTATAGTAGTGTTGGTCTGAGGTATATATGTGGTATGAGAGGATTCCCCGAAATTGCATATGGCTAAGATCTGAGGTTTGCATGGGTTTGTGCTGAGACTTGCAGTATTTTTGTGCCATTGTTAATTCTATATTTCAGTATACGGGGATGTTAGAGAAACAACTTCAGATTCACAGAAGGTCCCTTCAGAATGGGTATCCCAGTTGCGTCATTATTGGGTGCTTTAGAGGAAATATAGCGGTTTGTGGGCATTCAGAGATTATCTACTTATATTAGGAGGATCATAATTGATTTTGAGGCCGTGGGTAGGCCTAACTAGAATGTGTGTTCTACATCGAGTCAGATTTGTTTACTTAACACAGCTATTGTTGAGGGCGGTGTCATCGGTTAGAGTTGATCTTATTTGTGTTCTGCTGTGTTCCATGTATTATTACTCTTCTATGCCACGATGATTTGTGAGATTGTTGACTATCTACGCAAATAATGCGGTTGTGTTTGGGCCTTGTAGTGGAATTCGAGCGAGATGACTCTTGAGGTATGGAATCGTTGATTGCTCCTTGGTCACACATTTCATGTGTTTGTTGTTGATTTGTGTATGGTTGTTGATTTTGAACATTATGGTTCGTGGTATTTCATGTGGACCGGTGTTTGAATAGGGTCACGCATTGCAGTAAAGTTATGTTGGGATATGATCCTTTGTGTGTTAATTTTGTATGTTTTAGCTCTCCTTTGTGTGATGGGTTCATAGCGTTGCGCTTGTGGTGGTACCTGTTGAGCTTGCGGGATGATTCTCTCATTTGATCTATTTTCCGTTATTGGGTACATTTGCGTTGTGGCTTTAGGTGGTATTGGTGTGGCATGTTGTAGAGCAGCTTGTATTTAATGAGATGAGGTTATTAGACCTGGAACGAGTGCTATCGTATTTGATCACGGTATGTTTGGAAGAATAATGTCATTAGTCTGCTCAAAATTTGGCAATGGTTCTTATCGGGCGAGAGAGCTTCACGACTTGTTGATCTGATGTTTGGTTATGAGAAGCGTGTTTCTTTTATCATCGGCAGTGTACGAAGGTTTAGAACAAGGTTTTGTTCAATATGAAATTTGTTACCTGTACCAGGTTTGTTTTTGGGCAGCTATTGTGGTCAGATGTTGTGGCTATGAGTACCTTATGAAGTATATCATGTCACATCTCAGGTTATGGTTATGGCTTGATACAACTTGTTCAGACTTATACAGTGGGTCTACATGTTAGACTCGGGTCTTGTAAATGAATTCTAGATGTTAGGGATTGGGTTCTACGGTTTATGGACTAAGGATGAAGTAAGGATCTTCAGTTAGGTTGAGTTGTCAGTATTATATGGATTGGGGTGTCGTGGGATCACCCATGGGTATGTGTATAGTGAGGTTGTATAGTGATTTGATGGCTTTGGAACGACTCTTGGCACGTTCGAGGATGAACGTATGTTTAAGTGGGGGAGAATGTAACTACCCGACTGGTCGTTTTGAGCTTTTGCATTCAGTTCAATGGTTTGAGGTAATGAGTAGCTTCATATAGTATATTATGACTTGCATGCATGGTCGGTTTTGGTTTTCGAGTTGTTCGGGATTGATTTGGAAGAATGATGCTAATTTTTGAATCTTTAAGTTGGAAGAGTCGGCCAAGTTTGACTTTTGAGTATTTGATCTCGGGTTGGGGTTTTGAAGGTTCCGTAAGGTCTAGATCGTGATTTTGGACTTGGGCGTATGCCTTGATTTGCATTTGGATGTTTGTAGAAGGCTTTGGCACTAATTGGCGAAAATTGGAAATGTTGAAGATTTGGAAGGTTGATAGGTTTGACTGAGAGTTGACCTTGTAGATATCGGGTTCGGATTACGGTTTCGGGAATTGGTATATGTCTGTTGTGTCATTTGGAACTTGCATGCAAAATTTGAGGTCATTCCGAGTTGATTTAATATGGTTAGGCATGCGTTTTAGAAGTTGAAAGTTCATTAGTTCATTAAGCTTGATTCGATGTGCGATTCGTGGTTCAAATATTATTATGTGTGATTTGAGGCCTCGAGTAGGTCAGTGTTATATTTTGAAACTTGTTGGTATGTTCGGACGGGGTGTCGGGGGCCTCGGGTGTGTTTCGAATGGGCTACGGGCCATCTCTTCATGTTTTGGAATTGCTGTTTTTTTATGTCTGCAGTTCATCTCGTTCACGGAAGGATGTTCGCGATCGTGATGTGTACTGTGGGTGGCTAGGAATTTTCACATCGTGTTCGCAAGACTACAGTCGCGTCCACGGAGCCTCAGGGAAGATGTTCATCGCCTTCGCGTTCATGTTCGCTGCCTTGCGATCGTGTAGATGCAGAGTTGGATGGGCGCCGGAGATTGGCTTTCGCGTTCGCGTACCAGACCTCTTGTTCGCGAGGCTAATTTTGTTAGGGGTCACATTTCGCGAGCTTCTGACCACGTTCGCGTAGTGTGATTTTGGGCAGCTGATGATTTCGTGAAGAGGGTCCCGTGATCGCGAAGAGGAACCCCTGGGCAGAGTTATAAGTACTCTATTTCGAGAGCTTTTGTTATTTTATCACTTTTTGAGTTAAAGAACTCGGGTTTGGGCGATTTTGGAGGGGATTTTCACGATTTGGATCGGGGCAAGTATTCTTGACCCGGATTTAGTTATATTTCATGATTCCATCCTTGTTTTTATCATTTAATTGATGATTTGAATTGGAGAAATTGAGGATTTTAGTAAAAACGTTTCTAAAACATAAATTGATGATTTGAAGGCAGATTTTGAGGTCGGGATTGGATGATTTTGGTATGGTTGCACTCGTATCGGAATGGGTATTCAGATTTTGTGAGTTTTGTCGAGTTGCAAGGTGCGAGCTCGAGGTTGACTTTTTGATTTTCAATAAAGATCGAAGCTTTATTATCCAGAATTATTTCCTATGGCTTTTATTTATGATATTAAGTTATTTTGGCTAGATTCGAGCCGTCCTTCACACGGGAAGGGCTTCTTAGAGTATTAATTTAGCTTTGTTGAGGTAAGTGTCTTGCCTACCTTTGCGTGGGCGAAACTACCTCGTAGAATTTGGTTTAATTGCACTATTTGGATTGTGTGGAAGACGTGTACATGAGGTGACGAGCATGTACACGGCCTTATCTATGAAAATTGACCAGATTAGACTCTTATGCTTCTTATATGCTTTAATTGAATTTGTCATTACATGTTCTATATTCCATTGTCAAGTTTATTCTTATATGCTTCAATTGAAGTTGTTAGTACATGTTCTATCTTTCGTTGTTGAGTTACTCTTATATGTATTTAATTGAGGTTGTTATTACATGTCATGCCTTTCATAGTTAGGGTTTATTCTTAAGCAAGTAATTGAAGTTGAAGTTATTGAGAGTTATTAACATATTTTTAGTTGAAGTTGTTGTTTTATAGAGTATCTTTCATTGTTGAGTTATTTCCCATTTTATTTTATTGTTATTGAGATTCTTGTACAAACTGTGGTTGAGCCGTGGGCTATGTTTTGTGGTTACATTGGTATTGTTGTTTTGGTAATGTTCTGGCCTATGGACACATGTGGTACGAGTTGATATGTCGTGTCGTTGTGATTTTGGCACATGTGGATTTGTTGTGTGTATTGATTGTTGCTCCACGGAGCATAAGGGTGGTATCTCCCTGTTGTTGATTGTGCGGAGTGATACAAGTGGCTATTGATGTACTATCTGGGCGGAGTGATACGAGTGTCTATTGATATATTGTGTGGGCGTAGCGATACGGGTGACTATTGTGTTAGTGTCTGTGCGGAGTGATACGGGTGGCTATTGTGTTAATGTCTGGGCGGAGTGATACAAGTAGCTATTGTATTAATTGTCTGGGCGAAACGATACAGGTGGCTATTATGATATTGTCAGCATGGTGGGATAAGGGTGGCTATGTCATGGCCTGGGGGCATATTATTGATGATATTCGTTCGGTGGTGTGACTTCCTTGTGTGTGTCATGCATATTACGCGATTTGTTGTGTTGTTTCTAATGTGCTACTCGATGACACTGATATTACTTGTTGACTTGAGCTATGATTGTACACTTGCACATGCATACACCATAACGTGCCACTTATATAGTCCAGGAGTATGATATTTGATGATCATTGACCATGTAGATGCATTCTCGTGTATTAGCTTTCTCTGCGATATAGCCAGACTAGTAGCCCGTGACCACGTGAGCGGTTTGTGATATTGAGCTTGTGACCATGCTGGGCGGATTATGATATTGAGCTTGTGACCATGCCAGGTGGGTTGTGATATTGAGCCGGTGACCACACCGAGCAGAATGTGATAGTGAGCCTGTGACCATATCGGGCGGATTGAGATATTGGCACGTAAGTTGTCCGTATGGTTGTGATTAATAATGTGGGCACGAGGTGTCATGTGTATATGATATGTCATTTGGGACTCGTGACTTGTGGTTATGAGGTGTGGTACCTCTGGGTGGTTTTGTTGTAACCCTTGTGTGAGAACGACTTGATTATTGTCATTTGTTTTCCTTAATTGATTTTACTGGCACTTTAAATTTGTTATGATTACTTTACTATTTTATCACATGTTTATTTTCTTGTTGCCATTTTACTGATCATTGCTTCCATTATTAGCTTTATACTGATATTCTGTACATGTTATTATGTCTTGTAGGTGTCTTGACTTGTACCTCATTACTACTCCACCGTGGTTTGTCTTGATACTTACTGAATACCGACCATGGTGTACTCATACTACACTTCTGCACATTATTGTGGAGATCCAGGTAGTGGAGATAACAGACTCAGGCGGAGTTAGTTTCTTGATCGCGATGATTCAGGGTAGAGCTGCTTGGTCATCGTAGTTCCTTGGAGTCCTTTCCTTTACATTTATATCGTCAAATTCCTATTCGAACAATATTGTATTTCTAGACATTTGCATTTATTCAGCTAGAGTTCGTGACTCGGTACTACCTAGTCTTGGGGATTGTAGTGATTATCGTAGTGTTGGCATGCATCACCTTTAAATTTCTTATTTATATTAAATTCTACTTCATAATATCATGTTTAATTAGTTTAACAATTGTTGTGATCGGCTTACTTAGTTTTAGAAATTAGGTGCCATCACGATCCTTAAGGTGGGATTTGGATCGTGACACATAAGCTCTACGGAGCGTACACAAGACATTCCAAAATACAATACTATTTGGGTTAAAATCAAATACTAGCATAAATAAAGTAAGATGGTGACTTTGAGGCCTGTGAACAGAACAATAGGTATACCTTGAAGTTTTCAACCGCACAGGAACAACTCTCAAAACCAACACGATCCGAAGTACCTCGATCTGCACACAAAAAATGTGCAAAAGCATAGTATGAGTATACCACAGCGGTACCTAGTAAGTATCAAAACTAACCTCGGTGGAGTAGTGACGAAGAAGTCAAGACACTCACTAGACACAAAATCTGTGCAAGATATTAACATAAAGCTAACATTGGAAAGAATGTCAACATAAAACTAACAACGGAAAGATTATCAATATAAAACGAACAATGGAATAATAACAACAACAAATGGAAACAAGAAGTAAACAAGTAATAAATAAACAAAATAATCAGAATACAGTTAAGGTATAAATGAATTCAATCAAGGAAACAAATGACAATTTAAATAATCAAGTCGTTCTAACACATGATTTACAACAAGAATTACCCGAGCACCACACCTTATAATCACAAATTATAGGCCATAATCACGAATCTTACACATATGGCACATCGTGTCCACATTATCAATCACCTTCGCACGACAAATATCTCGTGCCACAACATAAGTCTCACCCGCACGGCAAAGTCCACGTGCCACTACGTACATCGTATCCGTGTCAATTGCCAATAAAATATCCGAAGGATTCATTTAAATAAAGTAAGTCATGATGACAATTTAAATAAAGTACGCGCCAAATGAGATATAGAGTTTATTTTAGGAATCAAATAAAATAAAATAAAGTACAATTTATACAAAGTAGAGCATCAAATGAGATGATGAGTTTAGTTTAAGAATCAAATAAGGTAAGGCAAAATGACAAGTTAAATAAAGTAAAGCATCGAATAAGGTAACTAGTTTAATTTAAGAATCAGTTAAAGTGAAGCATGATAGCAATTTAAATATAGTAAAGTGTTGAGCGAGATAATGAGTTTATCTTAAAAGTCAAAAAAAGTAAATCATGATAATATTTTTCTTTATTTAAAACTGTTATATCACCAACAACTCAACATAATATGAGATAATGACTCCACACAAGTAAATTCATCTTGACAACCAATTCACCAAGTAACAAAGGAGGCACAGATTAACACATTAAAGCAACACAGCAAATCACGTAAAATACATGACTCACACAAGAAGTCACAATCATTCCAACACAAAAATAACAACAAGAGTAACCCCGAGGTACCACACCTCTTAATCATAATACACATGTCACAAATCATAAATCTTTCTTATATCGCCGCGTGAGCCTTACCCCACGTGCCCATATGCCACAACATTTTCACAACAACAATATCAATGGCACAACATTTATCAAACCACAATTCCAATGCCATAATAATACATAGTCTACAGCTCAACAACAAGGTATACAAGAGTCTCAACGACAACACAAGGAAGCAGAAGAATAAACTAAACCATGAAAGATATTTCATGTAATAACAATTTCAAATAAATGCATAAGAAGCAACTCAATAATGAAAGATAATCCATGTATTAACAACTTTAATTAAATGCATACAAGAATAAACCCAACAATGAAAGTTAAAACACGTAATAACAACTTCAATTGAATGCATGAAAATAAACTCAACAATGAAAGATATAACATGTAATAACAACTTCAATTAATGCATATAAGTAACCTAAGAGTCTAAACCGATCAATTTTTACATATAAGCCCGTGTACACACTCGTCACCTCATGTACACGTCTTTCACATAATTCAAATCGTGCAATTAGACCAAATCCTACGGGAAAGTTTCCTGCACACAAAGTTAGGCAAGATACCTACCTCAATTAGGCTAATTCATCATTCAAAAATAGCTTTTTAAAAAAAAATTCGCCTCCACACGACTCAAATCTAACCAAAAAATGATTTAATATCATCAATCAATACAAGAGAAATCATTTTCGATTAATATAGTCATGATTTTTACACAATTTCCCAAAAGTCAACTGCGGGCCCGCCCTGTCAAAATACGAGTCCAAGGGTAGATCTCGATTACCCATAACCCTACGAGTCCATATTGTGTTTTGTTTTAAAATTCGAGTCCAATTCGACTCTCAAACCTCAAATTATCATTTTTCAAAACATAGACAAAAGTTTCCAAAAATTATCTTCAAATTCCATGTATTTGAGGTTAAATCTCATAACTAATCATATAATATAATTAAAAATTAATCAAAATCACTTACCCAATAGTTGTATGTGAAAATCCCTCCTCAAGATCGCCTCCAACCGAGTCTAGGGTTTTAAAATGTGATAAATGGAGCTAAGTCCCCAAATCCCTCTATTTTGATCACCCGCAGAAGTCGCAAATGCAACCCAGGGTTTGCAAATGCGGAATATCTATCGCAAATGTGGAATCTGATGAATCCCAGGGAAAGTCGGAAATGTGACCCTGACTTCGCATTTGCGAAGTCAGGCCCTTTGCAAAAGCGATCATGTGATCACATATGCGATCATGCCAGTCCAGGTCCCCCCATCGCAAATAGAGAACAAATTGTTCGCAAATGAGAACCACCTAGAGCCAGTAAACTTCGCAAATGCGGTTCCTACCTCACAAATGCGAACAGTGTCTTGCATTTGCAAGACCTGAGGCACCAACAATGAACCAGCAAAACTGAAGCAGCCAGAAAACACTCCGAAACGCATCTAAAACTCGCCGGAACCCTCAAGGCTCCACGCCAAACATCCACTAAAGTCCAAAAATATCATACGAGCTTGCTCGCACAATCAGAACACTAAAATAACATTCGGAGCTACGAATCGGACATCAAAACACATGAAATTTCACAATGAATTTAAGAATCGCTAGAAAAATAACTAAGCGTCCGATTCCTATCAAACCAACTCAGAATGGTACCAAATTTATCAAACAAGTTCCATACAACAAAATCCAAATTTATCAAACAAGTTCCATACAACAAAACAGACCTATTTCAAGTTCCAAAACAAAAATCCAAACCCGATAGATATTAAGTCAACCTGCGGTAAAATTTAAAGAATTTCTAAACCTCCAAATCGCCAACTTTCGGCAAAACAAGCCAAATCAACCTAGGAACCTCTGAATTCAAATCCGGGCATACGCGTAAGTCCAAAATTACCATCCAAACCTAACGGAACCATCAAAACTCCGATCTGAGATCAAATATGCAAAAGTCAAACTTGGTCAACTCTTCCAACTTAAAGCTTCTAAAATGAGAATCATTCTTCCAAATCAATCCCGAACCGTTTGAAAATCGAAACCAACCATACACGCAAGTCATAATACATAATATAAAACTTCTTAAGACATTACATTACCGAACTGAATACAAATGCTCAAAACGACCGTTCAGGTCATTACATTCACCTTCGCGAACGTACAACTCTCACACGAACGCGTAGACATGGGCTCTTGGGGCTACCAGGGCGGTTTTTCATTGCAAACGCAATAGTGGATCGTGAACGTGGAGGCTTGGGGGGCCGATAGTCTTTGCTAATGCAAAGAGTCTTTCACTAACATGATGGCCAGTTGGCCATTAGCCTTCACGCGTGATAGGTGCTTAGCGAACGTGAAGAGCACTTAATGCCCAGGTATATATTAGATGAAAAATCGGGGTTTAGTTATTTTTCACCATTTTTGAGACCTATATCACGGATTGAGGAGAAATTTGAGAGAATTTCCATCCCAAATTCATAGGTTAGTAACTTTAGCTTGTTTTTGAATTATTTCCATAATTCTACACAGCATTTTGTCCCTAAACCTAGTACTTTTAGGTGTAGAAATTGAGGTTTGGGGAAAAAATTTATGAGGGCTAATTTTGGAGATTTGGCCCTCGGTTTGAGGTCCAATATTAATGCAAATCACATATTTGAACTCGGGGGAGAATGGGTAAACTGTAATTGGTCTTAATTTTGGATTTTGATAATGTGTGTCTGGGTTGACCTTTTGTTGGCTTTCCCAAATTTGTTAAAGATCGAGCCTTTTTAATACTACGGTAGTTTCTAAAGCTTGTTTTGACTTAATTGAACCTTATTTGACTAGATTCAAATTGTTTGGCGTCTTGTGCTAAAGGCAAAGCTATGTTGGATTGTTAGTTATATTTTGAAAAGAGATAAGTATCGTGGTTAACCTTGATTTAATAGAATTAGGATGTTATTTGGTCTATTTGCTACATGAATTGTGTGTGTGGAATGACGTATATGCAAGGTGACGAGTGTATACACGTTGTCATTGGTCAATGCATGCGGGTAAAACTAGATTATTTTATGTTTTATTTATTACATACTCTCACATGTTCCGTGCCTTTATCTATTACATGTTTTACTTGTTCCATACCTTTATTTGTTACATCTCTTGCTTTTCACATGTTTTACTTGCTGCATGCTTGTACTTGTTCATGCTTTTACTTACTAAATGCCTTTACTAGAACATGTTTATACTTGTTTTAGGTCTTATTTTCCTGGCTATGTTGGGAATTGTGCGATCTTTTGATTGTTCGGATCCTTATTGGTTACATGAGTAAGATTATATCTAAAATTTGGGATTTTCCATTACTTCTTGTTCATGTCCATCTTTTCCTTAGTGAATTATGCTTATTCGTTCTCCTCGATAGTTATTATGGATTTGGCTATATTTGGATGTGTTGTTTGATGATTTCGTGTGAATTGATAGTAGGATCGGGTTGCCACAATAATAATATTATGATAAGAATCAGGTTGCTCACCGCAATAATAGTATGGCTATAGAATCGGGTTGCCGCCACA